TTTAAACCTAGAGCAAAATGTTTGTAATAACTGAGACTGTATTTGTGTAAAGTTTAATGGGTGTTGCACTGCCCAGCTACACACAATTCCCAATGAGAGTTATAGATATGTAAGTTGATTACTTTGAATAGACAGATGCCCTGAAACTATCTTTCTTCTGATACCTCCAGTCCACAGTGAAGAATACTCACTCACAAACTGAAAAGCATTACTGAACTGGTGTGTGTTTGTATGTGTGTGTGCGTGTGTGTGTGTGGTGGGGTGGGGTGTCCAGAACATAGGAATAGAAACAAGACTTTGTTTGAAAAACCTAAGCAAGATATTCTTCTGTTTTGTAATTTTTTGTTAAATATTTCAAAGACACACATAAGCAAAGACAGTGATGTAATGCATTGCCCACACTTTATTTACACCCTACCCAGTTTATTTTCTTTTTTGTTTGGATGTGGGTGTTTATATTGCCATTCCCTAAGTCAGTGGTTTTGACCTTCAGCTGTGTGTTATCGTCACCTGGAGAGCTTTTTACATCCTCATCCCCCCGCCTACCTCCCAGACCAATTAAATCAGAATCCCTCGCAGGAGAGTCAGACATCAGAAGCTGCCCCGGTGATTACAGTGAGCGGCCAGAGCTGAGAACCAATTCCCTAAGTGAAAATGGCAAAATCAAAGAAGTATTTTTACTGCTGAATCATGTCCTCATATTTTAAATTCATCTTCAAAATTATTTCAAATTATTTGTGGTTTTCTTATGTCTTTTTCATATTTATTTCTCTGTCTCTCTTGGGTTTTAAACCAGTGGTTCTCTACTCATTAAAATCATCTTAGGATGCTGTTTTAAGAAAATGCCTGGGCTCCCCTCCTGGATGTTGTGCTCTAATTGGTCTGGTGTGGAGCCCAGGATTTCTTGGTTTTAAAAGCACCTGAGGAGATTCTGAGTTTAAGCAGAGTTGAAAGCCAGTATTTTTTAATATGTCAAATACCTATCAAGCTGATCATCTGAATCTCCTGGGGAACTTTTATTTATTTATCTATTTATTTATTTTTTAGTGGAAGAAAACACATTTATGTATTTATTCATTTCTACTTACAAGTAAGGTCATAGACATCAAGTAGACACCGTACTGCCTGGCAATACCTTGTCAGTCTCTGGTCTAATTTCTCTTTCCTCAGACCTCCAACAGTCTCTCCTTCTCACTTTCTTTCTTTCTTTCTTTTTTTCTATTAAGATTTATTTATTTATTTGAGAGAGAGAGAGCAGTGGGGAGGGGCAAAGGGAGAGAGAATCTCAAGCAGACTCCCCGCCGAACGCCCCGAGATCATGACCTGAGCCAAAATCAAGAGTTCGATGCTTAACCGATTGAGCCACCCAGGCACCCCTCCTTCTCACTTTCAATACAATTCACAAAAGAGAAACAGCTCATCTTTCCAGCACCACATCTACCAACCTAAGTGCATTTGTATCCACATACTCGCCTTCCCGCTGTGGACAGGGAGGAGCTCTCCTTGTCCTCCTCAAGGTCAGGTCCTGCTTGTACATAAGAGCCAGTGTCTCGGGCGCCTGGGTGGCTCAGATGGTTAAACGTCTGCCTTCGGCTCAGGTCATGATCCCAGGGTCCTGGCATCGAGTCCCGCATCGGGCTCCCTGCTCAGCGGGGAGCCTGCTTCTCCCTCTGCCT